TGGCCCATCCCATCCACCACTGGTCAATTCCCCAAAGGTCCCAACAGCGGTTCCTGGGGAACGGGGGGGTCCCGCTTCCCACCTTGGGGGGGGGGAAGAGAAAGAGATCATCAGGGCCGCCTCGCTGACCTCCGGGTGGCTCTTTTCCCTTCTCACGGTGATCAAGCCCCTTCTCCGCTTCCCATTAAAAACCCGTCTTTTAACTGTGGACACATTTCAGCCTCACCAGATCTGCTAATTATTGACAGTTGGTGAAGAGGAGATGTCGCTTGCTCCTCCTGTTAAACTGCATCTAATTAGTAATTGCTGGTTTGCTGTCATCCTCTCGGCTGCCGCCACCACCGCCGCACTGCCGCACATGAGCTCATTAACCTTTTGCTTTTCTCGTGGCGCCTGCCAGCACGATGGAGGCTCCAACAGATTGGCAACAGGGAGCATTTCTCTCCCTCTTCCCCCCCCCCCGCCTTGGCCTGGAGAGATCCAGAAGGAAGCCTGGGCGGGAAGAGAACTTCAGTTGGGAGCAAGCCCTCCATGGAGACGGCTTGTCTGGCCTCCAAGGCGGGGGGGGGGGAAGACGTGCTCTCGGGCTTCCTTCCAAACCCCATTCCTCAGAAGGACGCCTGATGGACAGTGACGCTACTCTGCACACGCTCAGGCGTGCTTTCTTTCAGGAAACTTTTCTAACTCAAAGCACCAAAGGCAACTCAAAAAGCTTCTGAGAAGGCAGCCTTAGCTGCGGCGACATAAGCAGGAGGGCGGGCGGGCGGGGGGGGACCGGACGGGAGCACCCCTGGCTCTCCTTGCCAACCCCCTCCCCGCCCCTCCAGCATGGAGACAGGGCCTGTCCGGGGAGGGAGGGAGGGAGGATGCAGGGGAACAGAGGCACCCGCCGGTTGGGGGCTTCGTGGTCCAGGAGGCCTCCTCAAGAACAGCACAGTCCGGATCTTGAAAGAGGCACCGAGAGTGAAGAAAAGGACGGTTTCCCAGAGGTCAAGGAGAGACCCGGGGCGACAGGGGAGGGAATCCAGGTGCTCCCTCCAGGAGTTGTTGTTGCTGCTGTCGTCGTTTAGCCATTTAATTGTGTCCGATTCTTTGTGACCCCATGGACCTGAGCAGGCCAGGCCCGCCTGTCTTCCTGGAGTTGGGTCAAATTCATGTTGGTTTCTACTGACTTTCAAACCTTTCTCCTAAAGTGCCTTCTTTGATGACCTTGTCCAACCATCTCATCTTCTGTCTTCCCCTTCTTCTCCTCCTCTTGCTCTCTCACTTTCCCAGCATCCAGGAGGGAGGGTTGCAAACCCCACCCAGAAAGGGGAACCAGTCCCAGACCCCCACTTTCTCTCCTTGACGTGAAGGGCCACCTTCTCCTGCATCAGCCAGCCTCTCCACTCAGTCCTTTGTTCGACTGATGGTCTCCTCGTCTGCCTTCTCCCCAAAATTGGGACTCAAAGCATCTCATGGTAAGATTCATCCATCCACCCATCCACCCTTCTTCTGTCCCATCCCTTCTCTCAGTGTCTGACTGCCGAGCCCGACATGGGGGGGGGTTCAGTTCCCCACCGGATCTCCTGGGAGAGGAGCCAGCCTGTGAAGCCCTGGGCAAAAGCTGCAGGACCCCAGAGCACCCACCCAGAAGAAGAAGAAGAAGAAGAGAAGGGGAAGCCACCTGGGAGGCCTCTCTTTCTACCTGGGAAACCCTGGAAAGGGCTGCCATCCGTCAGAACTGACTGGCGGGCACATGACTGTTGTTTTGTTGTCACGCAAATTGTAGTGTCAACTCACAGCTGGATTAAATGCAGGGGAATAAGGAGAGCAGCACCGCCCTGTGTGTCTCCCCCCCCCTTCCTCAAAGCCTCCTGGGGGGTTTCCTTGGGGACAGCCCAGCCCGCGGGAGTCCCGAGCCCCTTGCCCCTCAGGCTGCTGGGTTGCTTTTCTCCCCTCCTCCCCTCGGATGCTGTTTGTTTCCCAAACATCTGCCTTGCTTTAAAATCATAGAAAAGGGAAGCTGGAAGGGGCCTCCAAGGCCATCCAGTCCACCCCCTCCACGCTCAAAGCAGGAATACGAATCCAAGGAGCTCTGCCAGGGGATGATCTCAGTTTTCCTCGATGGCCTCCAGTTTCTGAGCAACTCCCCGACGGGTCACTGGTTCCACCCCCATCCACGTCTGCCCTGGGCCCCACCCCACGACCCGGCCAGGTCCTGGCTACTTGTCCAGGGGTTAAGTCTGCCTTTGGAGACAGGACTTGGGACCAGAAGGCAAACCCCAGACGGTTCTCCTTCCGCAGCCCTAACCCTGAAGCCTGGCAGGGGAGGCAGCCCTTGCCTCCCCCCCCCTCCGTGCCCTCCAGCATGCCCAATGCCCATCCGCAGCTGGCCGAGGTTTCACGCCCGGGTGTGGCCCTCTGGGCACCGAGCGCCAGGGGAGTCCTC